TGACTTGTTTTTAAAAAAAGCAATAAACAAACCAGAGTTTAAAATAAAAAACGAAAAGTCGCTTGACTTTAGAGACATAATATATCGTAGACTATCAGAAAAAACAAACTTCGTTTAGGGCGTTTGGCAATCTGAAAATTATATGGTGAGTACATCAGCAGCAACTTACTCTCCGATTTTGATGCAATGTTTTCTTACTAGAATCCAAGGCTCCCCACCCCCTTAAATAAGTAAATAAATAAATAAATAAATAAATAAATAAATAAATAAATAAATAAATAAATAAATAAATAAATAAATAAACAAATAAATAAATAAATACATACAATTAAGAAAAATAAAAGTGAAATAAAAGATAATAAATAAAATTTAAAAACCCATATAAATACATGTCTAAATAAAAAAAAAAAAGAATAAAAAAAAATTATAGAAGTTTTTCAAAATCGGTCAATCTACTTAGCCAGTTTTACAATAATAATAAAAAAGCGTAATCACTCTTATTGAATTACTTTTCTATCAAGCAATGGTATTGTTTCGCTTTACAGATGATGGGAGGTTAGTGGGGTTTTTGCTTTTATTTTTCTCTATGTTGAAAGACATGCATGGATGGGTTTGAGTAAAAGCGGGGACGGGGGCGGGGGGGGGGGGCGGGGGGGAAAGGAGGAGAGTGAGTCCCTATTGGCACATAGGTAACGCATAAAATTCATTACCATCAGTGCCAGAAGAATATGTCATGGGCATGGAAGGGTAGTGAACTCGGTGCAAAAACCCTCCATTCTGAACGTGTTTGGGTCGCGTGAGGAACAAGCGCTCCCTCAGATCGTCGCGAGAAGTGCGTGGCACAAAGTCCGTAGGGAAATTGAAAAAATTGCCACAAAGCATAATTTGATTACATGGAAAATACAAGTGACGTGCCGACAGCCCTGGTGTCTGGATTGTATTTATCTGTACCCAAAAAAGCTCAAACAAACGGCACGCAGAGTTGAGAACTGTAAAAGAGATTTAGTTTTCTTTTTTATTAACTAAAAAAAAAAAAAGAAAGAAAAGTAAAAAGGAAATTACGCGGGTATTCTCATTTGGTTCAGCATTAAAGGGGGAGTGGGTGGGTCGTCCCCCCCCCCCTTTTTCTTTTATTTTTTGGGGGAGAGGGGGAATTGTTACCGTTTGAGTAAATTAGTTGGATGTAATGATCATTAGGAGTAAATATTTTTCCACACGTAAGTCCCCCATCTCGGTTATACTGTGGTCGTTAAGACATACGTCACAGGATAGACCTTCGTCTTGTCTGATCTCTATTTTATACAGTCTGTTCAAACAGACTGCAGGCTTTCGAAAAGAATATGAAAGAAAGAGAAAGAATGTTCCCGAATCTCAACCTTGCACAGCAGAATGAATGAAGCTCTGGATGAGCACGCACTGTGACGCTCGCTGTGAACTACGTGTGTTGGGAAATGTGTATGTGGTTATTATGTGTGTATACGTACACACATATACACACGCATCCACATCCACATATGCACATATATAAACAGAAACAAACAAATACACATATACGTCACTGAAGCGAGAGAGAGAGAGAGAGAGAGAGAGAGAGAGAGAGAGAGAGAGAGAGAGAGAGAGAGAAAGACAGAGGGAGAGAAAGACAGAGGGAGAGATAGGGGAAGGGTTGGAAAGGGAGAGAGAGAGTGTGAGCAAGAGAGAAAGGAAGGGGATAGAAAAATAATGAGAGGCAGAGAGAGAGAGAGATAGAGGGAGAGATCAAGAGAGGGGGAATGGAGAGAGAAAGAGAGAGAGATAAAGAGAGAGAGAGAGAGAGTGTGTGTGTGTGTGTGTGTGTGTGTGTGTGTGTTTGTGTGTGTGAGTGTGTGTGTGTGTGTGTGTGTGTGTTTGTTTGTGTGTGTGAGAGAGAGAGAGATAGATGGATAGACAGAGAGACAGAAAGATAGATAGATAGATAGATAGATAGATAGATAGATAAATAGATAGATAGATAGATAGATAGATGGATAGATAGACAGATAGATAGATAAACAGATAGACAGAGAGCGAGAGATGGAGGACATATTGGTATTTTGTGTTCATGGCCAACGTTATAAAACGAATCACTTTCAACTGCATTTAACTTAACTATTGTCAGTGACCAATTCATGTGAAATGCTCATATGTTGTTGGCGAGGTTCGGAAGCCACAATTTATATATTCTATATCTGAACGCGTCAGTTTGTTTTCGGTAAATGTGCAGGTATGGAGTGAAAATGAAACAACGGTTCCGATGTACAATCTATAGAAGTTAAACAAATGCCCAAAAATACATTGAGGAGAAAGCTCAATTTTCCCCTAAAAATACATTTTTCTGTCCAGTTGTGAAATTTGAAGTTAGAGGCGGAGGAAAAAGCACACCTGGTGAAGTACGTTTGTTTAACAGAGAAACAGAGAATGGTCAAACATGACAAAAATGTTTACTAAAGACAAGGTTAACAAGTGCAGAACCAGTTGAAAAGATTAGATTTCAATGTGAATAATGACATTACAAGTATTACTAGAAAGAAAGTGTATTCACGTAACCGACAACAGCAGAGAAGGAAGCTAGAACAAAATGAATTCTCATTTCTACGGCGAAACAGAGGCTGGTCAAATGTAACAAAAATGTTCACTAAAGCCAAGGTTATCGAGTGCACAACCAGTCAAAAAGCTTAGAATCTAGGTTTCAATGTGAATAATGACATTATGACTAGAAAGAAAGTGTTTTCACACAACGGACAACAGAAGAGAAGAAAGCCAGAACAAAAATGAATTCTAACTCAATAGTAGGTTGCCCTGTAGAAGCAAACTATAATTCTGACATGAGTACAAACACAGATTGAACAATATCATACAAACGAGCCAACTAATTCACGCCTTTTCGCAAACCACTGCTGTACATGAATGCGGTAAAAGTAAGATTATGCATACATCCATTCAGCGCTTAGTTGGTCTACCACACCTATCCGGGACCTTCACTTTCACTGGAGCAATAATATGTGGGTCTTCATGACTTAAAGCACGAATCATAACCTTCTAACTTATTATTTTTAAGAATGGAGGTCGACATTCAGGGAGTACCCCGGAGGAGCGGGCTCTTTTACACTTTCATTTTCTCTCTTCTTCTCTCCATTCCATATTTATCTCTCACCCACTCACACACACACACACACACACACACACACACATACACACACACACACACACATACACACACACACACACACACACTCACACACACACACACACACACACACACACACACTCTCTCTCTCTCTCTCTCTCTCTCTCTCTCTCTCTCTCTCTCTCTCGCTATGTATGCTTGTTCTGTGAATAGCTCTGTGAAATGACCAAATGCTTATGTAAAGCTTAACTCAGACGTCTACAATTTTCAGATTTACTGAGAGTGCTCTCGTAGCCTACAGGCTAGGTGTTCGCCTCTCATTCAAAGGTCTCGGGTTCGAATCCGGGTAGCGACGGAAAAACATTCTTTACCAAAAGAGTCTCATTTCACCTTCTTTCCTTCCCTCTTGCAGTATTCTGTTGTCTGCTTTCGTCTCCCCTTTCTTTCCCCACTCCCTCACATCTTTTGCCCCCTCCACTGGGCTCCTGACTCTTTTGCAGCCTTTCTACTGCTACTCCTTGGCTCTTTCTTACTGCTGTCTTTCAGCCACACCCCTGATCTTCTGATAGAAAAGATCTACACCCAGCCTTCTCGGACAAGGGCGACAAATCTTGGAGGTCCCGTGAACAGGTTGTGCATATTAAAGATCCCTTGGTGGTCCAAAATCAATAAGAGTAGGCTTCGGTCGCCACCCGGGCAATATTCAAAATTTCCTACCAACTGAAAAGGTTTGGTGTGTCCCGCGCGCTCATTTGACCTCATGCAATTTCGAGCGCCGTAAAACACTTACCAAAAAACAATTACTGATTAATTACAGCAGCAGTAGCAGCAGCAGCAGCAACAGCAGCAGCAGCAGCAGTGGTAGTAATGTAATTGTAGCAGCAGCAGCAGCACCAATAGCAGCAATAGTAGTAGTAGTAGTAGTAGTAGTAGTAGTAGTAGTAGTAGTAGTAGTAGTAGAAGTAGTAATTAGGGTCTTGCATGCCGGTTGCTGTAAGTCCAGGCATGGACCAATATTCTGATTTCTGTTCCTACACAAGAGGGCTCCTTCATGTGACACATACATACATGCTTTGGTAGCGTCGTCATTCTCCGTCGTTATTTCAATTTGACATGACTTCACACTTTGATCTGCTACAGTCAACAGCTATCTTTTACTAGGTTTCAAAGTTGATATCAACTGAGGTTATGGGTAAGCATCTTTATTTGAATAGAAGTAGAACATGTTCCTCCATCCTTTTCATTTATTGTAAATAGCCTATGTAGATACACGAGTATGAGTACGTGTATCTAGTTGGTATGATTGGAGAGCGAATATTATTAACCACTGACAGTGTTTATTCGCTAACATGAGCAGAATGTTATTCTGACCAGTTCAAAGAGCTATGTGCCAAGAGCTAAGCACAATGCACGATGAAGAATATTTGCTTCTATATTATGTCCTCTGAGTTTAGCAGCAATGTTTTCCAGTAGACAATACGAATAAAAGAAACCCTGAGAGCTATTCGTTCATGAGCCAGAATAAAAGCCCCAAAGAACATAACTTGGCCGTCTCTTTATCTCAGTAGCGACATTAATAGTGCTTTACTATTGACGATAGAGCAGTAAGTTGCTTTGTTTTTTAATTGTCTTTTGTTGCTGTTGGGGGTTTTGTGGTTTTGGAGGGGGAGGGGGTGTAGAGAATGGAGGGAGGTTTTTATTTGTAGATTAACTCCCCTCCCTCCCCCCCCCACCTAAAAAGAAAAACAAAATACAACATAAAGCAATTTAGGGACATTTGTTCATAGTTTTAAATACTCGTATGAGCCACATGTGAAAGAAATGGTTGCAAAGAGTAAGCGATTTGAGAACCTACCGTCTTCCGTGACGTCATCGTCGAAAAGTCCTTCAGCAACCAGGTATGCCTCCAGCTCTTTGTGGAAGAGTCGAATCACACTTCCACCCTGTGTGGGGAGTGGGGGGAGGGGG